GCAACATCAACACTATCCACATCCTCCTCTTCCTCACCTTCACCAGCAGCCACCACCTGCCTTCCCGCCCCACTTGCCTCCTCATCTCGTTCCCTCTCCTTTCCATGGCCCATATGATTCTGCACCACCTCCTTCTCCACCTCCATCTGATCCTGAACTACAAAAGCGTATTGATAAATTGGTTGAGTATGCTGTCAAGAATGGTCCAGAGTTTGAAGCTGTGGTTCGCGAAAGAGAGCAAGAAAACCCTGCTTACAATTTTCTCTTTGGTGGTGAAGGCCATAGTTACTACCGCTATAAGCTTTGGGTTGCAACAAGACATCTAGGGGGTCCCTTCACCCCTCCTTTCCCACCCTCTTCTGTGCCCATGATGCATCCTCCCAACCCCATGATGGGTTCATCACCTATTAATGCACCTAATGCTGCTGCTGGGGTTTCTTCTTCAGTGTTGGGGGCACCTCACTTGCAGCAGCATCCTCTTCCACCATTCTATGAGCAGCAGCTCCCCCACAAATCTCACCCTTCCATTGGTCATGGTCGTCCTGAATATGATCAGTCTTTTAGGTCTTTCAAAGGTCTATCTAGACCATTTCCTTCTGATGTTGAAATGGAGCTGAATGGTGTTCTCAACAGTCTCACTGGTACCAAAGAGTCGATCAAAGGTGCGAAGACTTGGTTTATGCAGAGATCTCCTTTTGTACCTGCCCTGGCTGAGGCACTGAGAGACAGGATATGTTCCTTGGATGATCCCGAGAGACAACTGCATATAATTTACCTTGCCAATGATATTCTATTTGACAGGTCATCTTCAATTGCTAAAAGCTTGATACTTTTCTGCAAATTATTTATTACAAGTTCTAAATATTTGCTGCTTTCATGTAAAGCTTTTCTTCTTCAGTTTTTGTCATCTGTATCCTTTCATTTTCCCTATCATGAGAAAATGTCAAATGCTGAAGATTATTGAGAATGGCATGAAATGAAAAAAAGTACAAAAGGTGTTAAGGATGGTGAACCAGCGACTGTTCTTTTTTATGCATCACCTTGATAAGTTGCATTCTTAAGATCAGTATAAAAGCTCCCAGGGCAGCAAGTAACTTTGAGTGAATTTTTGGTCTTAAATGGATTTCCAGAAACATCGGATGGCATGCTTCAAGGGTAGAGTATTAGGTTTTTATTCCTTTGATGATGATTGATGAACCAAGATTTGGAGGGTATCTTGGGTGGACTATATATTGTCTTGGAAGAACTTGGGAAGTTTCAGTCCTCGAAACACATGTCAGTCACATTGCTTTCGTATTTTTCAGCTCTAAATTTGCTATTTGATATTCTTTATTGCCTACTGGATAATGCAAATACTTGAAAGCACTTATAAAGTCGAGCTCTTCTAGTTTTGGTTTCTCTTTACCTCTTCGTTACATTCTTTTTTAAGAATGTTTTTTGTCTGCTAAATGTAATTACACTATTAAATTCTAACTATTGTGTATGAGTAGATTTGAAGTAGCCCTTTTAGGTGTTACAGGGCCATCACCATTCCTCCTAGAAAGCAAATTTATCATTTAGTCACTTGTCAAAGGAAAGTAGGAAACATATACAGTATAAGGACATTATGGATATTTAAGATCTGAACTGTTCCTCAGAATTCATCATGTTTCTTGCACACATTTATATTTTGATTTCTGAAATATACAGCTTGCAGAGGCGGGTCAACCTTCATGAGTTGGATAATGAGGCACTTGCATTTAAGCCAGTTTTGGGTTCTATGCTGGCAAGGATTTACCACAACCCTCTAAACAAAGAAGAAAACCAGTCCCGCCTTCAGAAAATTTTACAATTCTGGGCTTCCAAGGACGTTTTTGATCAGGATACTATTCATGGGCTCGAAAATGAGATGGTGAGTGGGCTGGCTCAGAATTCTCTTCCAGGTCCTCACAGAGACTTATCTGCTGTTGCATTAGATCCTTCAGTGGCCATAGGTAGCTTCTGTTCCTTCTAGCAGTTTTTGTTTGAAATAAACGAAAGTATGTTTTCACGGAACGTCAAACATTCTCTACTTGCTCTGGTAACTTTTGCTGTCCATGTAGGAGGACCCTACAAAGTGGCAAATCATAATACATTACAGTGGCAGCCTGATGAGCAAAACTCGGTTCCAAATATGCTGGTTCAAGAACAAGCTCCTCCTATTCCTTCAATGCCACAATCATTATCACCTCAACAATTTCATCCTATGTCCGTTCCTTCCAGTGGGTTTGCTGGATCAATGCCTGTGCCATCTTCTATACAGCAATCAAATCAACCACCTGCACATCTTAGCAAGGTTGGTGAAAAACTGCCTGCATATCCTCTGTTCCCTCCTGGTCTCATTCCCGGTATGGTCAGAAAAATGCAGATTGGTAGTGGGGTGCCTTACTCTCCCATGAGCCCTCTGGATATTCCCACTGTTATACCTCCTTCCAATATATCCCCATCTGAAATCAATGAGAAAGTGTCAAAGTTCTTTAGAGAGATTGGTGAGGTTAATCCATCTGAAGGAGCCGTGAAACCATCTGAATCAAGGGATGCTGAGGTATATGAATACGAAAGAGAGCTTCCCGTCCGTAAGGGAGGTGCCTGCATTCCTCCACCTCCTGGTCTAAATATGGACCCAAATTCTGAGACTTTTGACGATGGAAGCGTAGAGCAAAAACCCAGATCAAGTAGTTCCGGCAGGTTTGGGCTCGGGGCAACAGCTGATCCAAACGAGGCTAGTCAATATGATGATGTCTATAACTCCTACAGGAAAGAAAGAAGCACCGATTACCATTCATCTATGAGTGCAAGAGCTGCACCGAGGTAAAGCAATTAAAACTAATTACTAGTCCTAGTCGAGAGAATCTAGAAAAGAATCTAAATTTTCATCGTTGCTGGATTCAGTTAATTTATTTCTGGAGTTGTATTTTTGTGCTTATTTTTATTACATTTTTACAATTTAGGTGAAAAATTTTGATGCGAGGATTCAAATATTTTGGATGGTTGACGCAAATTCTGGAGTACGAAACGGTCATCTTGTCAAAAATGCTTCCAATTTTTTTGAATAGTAATGATACGGGCAAATTTCTAATTAAGTTAAAAACTTGAAAAGGTAAGTTATGAGTCATTATAATGGGCAAATTTCTTTGAGGAAACGCCGGGAACTTGCCATGTTTACTGCTCATAAATTCAACTGGCTCTAGAAATTGAAATTATTTATTAAGTCCCTTTTTGTTTCACTTCAAAATAAAACTCTTGAAGCCCTTGTTTGACAACTATTGTTTTGAAAATTGATTTTTAGGATAATGTGTGGTTAAAAACTAGTAAAATATTTTAGATTTACGTGCAAAATATTTTATTGCGTGAATATGTGGTTGGAAATGAAGGCATGTTTACGCCAAATTTTAATCTCAGTCAAAGTCAAACAATCAATATCAACCACATATTTCATGAGTTCTACATCTTTTCAATCACACGTTTCAAAATTTTTTATCACAATCTACTTAAAATCTGATTTTAATTTGCACCAAACACCTTTAACTATGTAGGAAAAAAGAGTTTTCAAATAATAGTTGTTAAACGGGGGATGATTTTCATACTCATTTTCAATTCATACATTTATACAATAAAATATTTTGCATCTATACTCAATTTTTTTTTGTTTTTTTTCATGCTTTAACTACACATTTTTTTTTAAAAAAAAATCATTATTATAAATTCTATTTTTAAAATAATGACTATCAAATCGGGGTTAAACACGAAAAGAGGACCGATGAGAAGAAGATCCTCAAAATTAAAAGGATAAAGAAAATCACCAAGTAAATTCGGTTCGTATCTAATGTTAATTCAAAAGTTATTTCTAGTTAAACGAGTGAAAGTGTCGAATTTGATTTTTGTGTCGAGAAAACAAAACACACACAGTTATCTATACAAATTGGCTTCATGACGCAAGATAAGGTTAGTCAGGTTTATTCCTTTTGACACAAGGTTTTATGAGTACGTGAACTCTAGTTCATGCTCGACTTTATAATTGTATTATTACACATAGATTGTTGTCGACTAGAAAAGAACACAATCATCAATTAGAGTTTTGTCACCATCAAACAAACAATTTCAGACAAGACTTTATGTATGTATATCGATAAGATAGCATCTAGGTCTTAAATTAGAGGTTTGTCGTTATGTTAGTTACGTCAAAAAAGAATTTCTTTTGGATTGGTACAATAGAATCACAATCTTCGATTGAATGTATCGTCGATTAGCTACCAATTATAGTAAAAAAGTTCAATTAATCTAGTCGTACAAAATTTGTTGACAAAATGAGCGTGACAAGATTTAGACAGTTGATTTTCATTGATTTCAAAAATTGTTTTTGAAAAATAGTTTGTAAACAAAGTTGGTGTAAAACACATTTTCCAGAATCCCAGCACGCCGACATGTTCACTGTTGTTGTTCTTCTCCACCAAAATATCCCATCGCAACTTAGCTAAATTATTATCCCTAATTTAAGTCAGATTGACCTAGTTAGAGTTAAACCTTTCCAATTCGTTTTCCCCAATCAAATTTCACCGCAAGGATCGAAATTGAGAAATGCCGCCAAATAATAGGCAACAGCGAAGCAGAGTCTACAAAACATCCGACATTGACCATATACGCAAGCACACGATTTTCCATTAAAGCAAATCCAACCAAAAATGGAAAATTTTCCACGGATTTGAAACCCCAAAATTAGTTTAAGTTGATGAAGAGAGGCGAAATCCGGGGCTTTGCATGCAAGCCATTTTTCTCAAGACCCCCATTTTACTCACCTGTTCATACATCAGCAGCATTGGCGGTGAATTGAGTTGGCTTTGGTATAAATTCGTTGCCTTTTCTGCTTCTAGAGTTATGTGCCAGAATTAGTCAGCTTGAGTGAAAAAATTAAAGCGGGCTTGTGGATTCTTGATTTTTTATTGGTTTTTGGAGGGGAATTTTGGATTAGAACAAAAAGAAAAATGGGTTCTCCCCATCTTGATGCTTCACAAAAAGAACTTGAAGATGGACTAATGGAAACTGGGAACAAGCTTCTGAAACCCACTTCCTCCATTGATGAACTACTCACCCTACTTGAGGTAAGACTCAATCACCGTGCCATGTGTATTTATTTACGTTTTTATGCATATATGTATAAAGCTATAATCTGTTTGTACTGAGCGTCTTTTATAAATGGGAGTAATTTTAAGATCTTGCATTGAATCTATTTGTGCAAATGTCAATTATATTTTTAGAAACTCGAGTTACCATACACACGCGAAGGCACCCGTTTTTATATGTTGTCTGAGAGAACATTTTTGGTGCATAAACTGAGTTACGTTTATGATAAACATTTTGTTTAGTGCGTCAAGATTGAAAATTTATATTCCGCATGTGAATTATCTCTGCTGCACCTTTGAAAATTTAATTATTTTACATGTACACTCCGATTGTGTTTGATGTTTTAATGTGTTGAAAAAGCCATTTTCAGGCTAGTTATGTATTTGATGGTTCTCTTGCTTGTGTTTTTGGAAGGTGGCAGCGGACAGCCAAATGCAAACAAATTCATGAAAAATATTATATAATATTGGAATTTTTGTTGAATGTTGTAAATCTGGTTTTAATCTCTTAAAGGTTTTCTTTCTTTATTTTTTCCACAAAACTCATGATTTAGAGTTTTTATTGGGTTGATCATATGTTGGTTTACTGGATGTGAAAATGTATTTGCTTTGTTGAATTGTTTTTCTTGTTAATAGAAATCAGTTTTTTGAAGGGGCTGATTTTTATTTGTTTTGGATTTGTCTTTGCCATTTGGTTGATATTAACTTATGGATGCTCTAACAACTTCAAGGTCCAATCATTTGTAGAACACACTGTGGCATGAGTTTTATGTGTCTATTGATAAATCTCCTCTCATCATGGCGACAATCAGAATAGAACATTCTGCTCAATTTGCTTCTAATGATTAATTGGTCTACAACAGATTACCATGAATTCTGGTTTTTTTGGTGGCAAGATTAGAGATCTTATCATCTACTCTCGCACGAGTACTTGTATACAAAACCTTGTTTGATGGTTTGTTTAAATGTTGTAAAACTTATTGTTGTGTTGTTTTATCAGTTTATGAGTTCGAGAAATTATTTTAATGGAGCTGCTGTTAAATATGGTTCAATATTTTTTCCCAGTTAACTTGATTGAAGAAAACTTGCTCATTGTAGATCGAGACTGTTTTCATTCCCATTTTAATGGTCAAATACTTGCTAATTTTGTCCATGCATCCTTGACATTCACCATGTCTCCCACTTCTTTCCTTTCTAGTCTCGCTATATTTTATGTTTAGATGAGTTTTTTGTTTTGTGTTTCATTCATTGATTCAGAAAGCAGAGAACCTTTTACTCAAGGTACGGCAACAGCCTCCCAAATCAACGGCAGAGGCACTTCTACCATTGATGACGGCACTGGTTACTGACGAACTCTCACAGCATACTGATGCAAATGTCCAAGTTTCAGTTGCATTTTGTATTAATGAGCTCACTAGAATATCTGCTCCAGATTCCCCTTATAATGATGATCGCATGAAGGTAGTCAGTTTCAGAGTATTCTTGTGTAATATGCAAATCAGATAATTCAAACTAGTGAATTGTGTTCCCCTCTCTCTCTCTCTCTCTCTGTATATATATATATATATATATATATATATA